GTTGTTTTCCTGTAAACAACTTGATGTTGTGGTCAATATTTAAGACATTTTTGTCGTTTTTGTAACAAAAAATAACAATTTTTAGTGAAATTAAACGTTATTGTAGACGGAAAGTTGATTTCAGGATTTTTTTACTAAAATAATAATCGAGATGATTTTTTATTAAAAACCTTTAATTAATAGATTGAGACTTTTGACCTCTTAAACATAAAAAAAAAATAATAATTCAAGTTGCAAGCAGGCAAAGGGAAAGAAACTGCTACAAGTAGCTATCGTGCGCCCCTGCCTCACCTTTATATATCATTTACTGTAAATTTCCGCCGGGAAGAAAAGTCTGCCTTTGTCAAGCGTTTAGCTTCACCAAACCCTACGAACAAGATTGGAAAAACTCAAAAGCTTCTTCTTCGATCATCGGGAAATTCGACTGCTCTATTCTCTTCTCGGAATTTTTTGGAACATGTAAGTAATTGCTTTCTTCTTCCTCTTAGCATGAAATTTCCCTTTTGGGTCTTTTCCTTTTTATGTCCGTACATCGGTTTTTGATCGGACAAAGGGCTCGATTTCATACCGATTTAGATTATGTAAACGGATTTTTCGGGGTTTATTTGTAGTGATTGCGGTTTGAAATCCATTTTCGTTGACTTGTGTTATTCTAGGTCACGAAATGTCTTGGTTCTTTTGTGTATTGATTTTGATCGAATTATGCGGTTATGATGATACGTGATCATAGAGAATGATAATTTTACTCTTATGATGCAAAATTTGTGAAAAATCGGTTTCCGTTTGATATTCGATATTACTGTCTCTGTTGCTGCTTAAACCCTATAATTGGAAACTTCTCTTTGAGGCTGTTCCTGAACATTTCTCTGTCTGCGCTTACAGTTTCGTAGCTTGCTTCAGTTTGTTGTATGGAAAGATTAAAACAATGCCTACTTACATTTTTTTCACTCTCTGTTTATCTATGCTCAAATCTTGTTCTGCATCACAACGCATCACAACTACTGACGTTTTGCTTTATGAATATAGTTTCCGTAAGTTTGTGTGAGAGGAAAGCGTAATGAGCTGCTTTGGTTGTTGTGGTGGTGAGGATTTTCGCCGAGTTGCTGAAACCGGACCAAAGCCAGTGCACAACGCAGGAGGTAGCTTAGTTTACCCATATCAGAATTTATATTTAGTGTCCATCTTTTGGTGGCTAAGTTAATGAACTTTTTAATGTTGTTAAGGTTACAATGGAGGACACCATCAAAGGGCTGATCCACCTAAGAACCCACCAGTCATTCAGATGCAGCCTATCTCCGTACCAGCCATTCCAGCAGATGAATTGAAGGAGATAACCGATAACTATGGTTCAAAGTCCTTGATTGGTGAGGGCTCATATGGAAGAGTGTTTTACGGTGTTCTTAAAAGCGGTAAGGCAGCTGCCATTAAGAAACTGGATTCGAGCAAGCAACCTGATCAAGAATTTCTCGCCCAGGTAGATACTACTAAGTCAATCATTCCAGTCTTGTTGGACCTTCATCTCATAGATATCTTTAGAGTGGTTTGCACTTAGTTGGGTACCCATCCGTTGGGGTTATTTTGTCGATTTTGTTTGCTTGGTTATTGACATAAAGAACCTTAACAGGTATCGATGGTTTCAAGATTGCGACAAGACAATGTTGTTGCACTTCTGGGTTATTGCGTTGATGGTCCACTCCGTGTTCTTGCTTATGAATATGCTCCTAATGGATCTCTTCATGATATTCTTCATGGTAAGTTACTAATGTAAAACATTGATTCGGTAAGACTTGGAGATGTGAAACTATAATCAAAGGGAGATGCACACCTTTTTCTGAGATTTTGAGGAAAAGCATAATGAAACGTGGTGACTTCGTTGGTGCAGGTCGAAAAGGTGTCAAAGGAGCACAGCCAGGTCCTGTTCTGTCTTGGAACCAGAGAGTCAAAATTGCTGTTGGTGCTGCCAGAGGACTCGAGTACTTGCATGAGAAGGCAAACCCTCATGTCATCCACCGAGACATCAAATCCAGCAATGTACTTCTGTTCGACGATGATGTTGCCAAGATTGCTGATTTCGATCTGTCCAACCAAGCCCCTGACATGGCTGCTCGCCTTCACTCAACTCGTGTGTTGGGAACCTTTGGCTATCACGCTCCAGAGTAAGCCCCTTTACCTGTTTCTTTATCTCGAACAGTGATTTAATTTGTTTGTTCATACTAATCCATGTGGCTAAATTTTAACTCGTATGTGGAAACTTTTGTTAACATTATCTCATGTTTTGAGGCACTAAGCTTTGACAATGTCATACCTTTACCTTTTTGTATGTCTTGCATCTTTTCTCATTAACCAGCTAGAGTCTTGAACATTTTCTGGTTCTGCAATTTAGGTATGCAATGACGGGAACATTGAGCACAAAGAGTGATGTCTATAGTTTTGGCGTTGTTCTGCTGGAGCTGCTCACAGGTCGTAAGCCAGTTGATCATACCTTACCGCGTGGACAGCAGAGTCTTGTAACATGGGTAATGCTTAGCGCAGTCTTATCTGATTCTTATTCTGGTTTACTAATATTGATAAGAAACTCTTTTAGGAAGACCAAACTCACAACACCTCTTTACAGTTACCCACACCTATAGAAATGATTGATTTAGTGTAGTCTTTTTTTTTTTTCCTACCACAAAGGAATGTCCCTGAGTAAACGTGAGATTTTTATGTGTGAAGCCTTTCCCAAATAAAATTTGCTTGATTGTGAGAGATTAAAGACTCCCCTATAAACGAAAACCGTTATTCAATGATAACGCTTTTGTGTGTCTCAGGCAACCCCTAAACTGAGTGAAGACAAGGTGAAGCAGTGTGTTGATGCAAGACTAAACGCAGAATATCCTCCCAAAGCTGTTGCCAAGGTAATTATTTCCCCCATAACCTTGTCATACTTCACATTGTTGCTGTAGAAAAGGTTTTACTTTAGGACATGACTTAGAGAAACTACTTCTCCATCCGTTGCACCCATTGGTGTTCCCTATTATATATAGGCCTAAATTGAAATACAAAATGTC